CAGCGGGTGTGTGTGTGTGTGTGTGTCTGGAGAGAGAGCTCCGCGAAAGGGAAGCGAGCTTTGCTTGCTGGAGAGAACAGAGTCGGGAACAGGCAAAAAACAACGGAGCGTGGATCTCCTCCTAGCCGTTCCTGCAAGAGTGAAGGGGGGGGGAATCATCTGGCCCCGTTGGGCAAGGGGGGGAAGATAGGATGTATTTATTTTATTTTGTTTATTCTATTTATATCCCGCCTATCTGGCCAATTACGACCACTCTAGGCGGCTTTTGCATTTATGGAGTAACTTTTGCAAAATAACGTTGAGGATCGTTTTTCAGGGGAAACGCGCCACCAAAGTAATTTGCAAGCGAGGAAACGCCGCTGGAACGATGTCCCGTTTCTTCTGAGCTGCATCTCCAAGCGGTCAAGAGGTTATCCTCCTCCGCAGAGGATCCAGTGAGCCAGGGCTGTGGGAAGTCGCTTGGATCGCCCTACCGACAACCTTCTCTGGACCTTTCCTGCTCCCGCCCAGCCTGAGTGGAGGAGATGCCTGGCTGAACTTCAGTGGGGTGCCAGGTGGCAGCAGGTGGCATTTGCTCCTAGGGTCTATGGCCGAGGTTGGCCAAGGGGCTCAAGATCTTCCGGGCCCTTCCATCGTGTATGACTTTGCCCCATGTCCGCTTGTTGCCCCAACTGATGCCTTCATGCTGAAGTGTTGAGGTGGGCAAGTGGCAGGATTCGCGAGGAAGGGACTATGGGCAACGGGATGTGTTCCCGAAAACAGAAACGGATCCTCCAGTCCTTGTTGCTCCTCACTGTGGTCTTTGGCTTCATCTACGGGGCGATGCTCTATTACGAGTTGCAGAACCAGCTCAAGAAGGCGGAGGCTGTGGCCCTCAAATACCAACAACACCAAGAGTCGCTTTCGGCACAGTTACAAGGTAAACTCTTTCTCTCGCACAGGCTCAAGAGAGGTCCTGGAAAAGCTTGGCCTGTGCTGGGCCTCCCAAAAACACACACCCTTTTTTGTTTTTGTGGCGTAGCAGGTGAAACGTTGCTATTCTGTGGCCTGTGATTCCAGCACATGGTTCTGACTGTGTGGATCCACAACTGGGATGGTTGAGAGTTGGACACACACATCTTTCTGCAGGGTTGGAGGCTTGATATATAATTAGTACTTCTTTGCTGTGTTCTTAAGGCTGTGGTGGCCACCAGAAAGGGAGGCAGTGGTTTGCATAAAAGAATATACGGTGATTGATACGTACAGATGTAAAATTAAAACTGATATTGATAGCTGAAACAGAATTACAATGCATTGCAACAAAATGGGGGAATCTGTGACCAGATGAGATATGTAGCTCCAGAGTTTTCTGCCTGAGTGCTGATTGTGGATGGGCATCGAGGCCTCTGATCTCCCTCTTTGTGTTTCAAACTTGAAGAGTCCTTCAGTTGAATGCCACCTTCAAAATCGGGGAGTGTCTTCTAGAACCTTTCATATGGAAGACTGTCTATAGTAAAGGAAGATATATGACCATTCTTGTTGAGGTTAATCTCGGTGCCATTGCAGTTAGAGATTGAAGGGTCCTGCGACTGAAAATGAGTGTTGGATGTAGCTCTTGTGCTAGTAGACGTATTTGCTAATGGACATACTTTCTTTGAATTTACAGTAATTGGCCATTTTCTTTACAGCAGGAGGTGCAGAGCCTATGACCTTCCAGATATTTTTTGGACTCTGGGTCTCATTGGCCCCAGCCATTGATCACTGATGATGGCAGCCCAATTACTTATACAGAATTCACAGTTATTCTGTCTCTGGCTGTCTTGACCATTGTCACCTTTCATAGCAGAAGATTCCATAATCTAATTAATGCATTGAGTAAAGAAGATACAGTAGTTGAGTGATGCTGAAGTTCAGTTGAAGGAAAGGGGGAGGAAAAGTGTCTTCTATCTGCTCTGTATGTCATTCATAATTGTATGTAGATAGATCTGCCTCCAATTTTTACTGTTGTCCAGTGGGGTGGGGAAGTAATTAAAAACAACAAAAAGGCTTTGGCTGTAATCCTATAAATATCTAATTGGAGTAAAACCTATTAAATTGTGTGAGTCTCATTTTTATTTTTATTAATTTGTTAATAGGTTCAAAACTACTTTATCCAGATGAATACCAGGGTAGTGAATAAATACACTTGGAAAAAAATGTAATGGAATAAACATTCTTAAAACATGTATTGAGAACAAATAAGCAGATAAAATCAAATAAATGGATCCAGCAAGCTAAAACACAGTGGCATATTAAGAGGTTTTGAACTTCAAATAATTGTGCTGCTGGTTCTGGCCACTCCTATGGAATTCCATAGTTGGGACATCACAGTTTCTGTGTTGGCTCTTACCCTTGTTTTATAGCAACAAGGTACTTGGAGGATATTTTTAAGTAAGCCTGGATAAGATTGTTTGCTTTTCCGTATGTGGAAGGTGACCCATAATGGATCACTTCAATTGTCTATGTGTGCAGTGACTGACTTTCAGATTCCTCAAACTGTTTCTTTATCAAAATTGGATGTTACATGTGAAAATATTGTAGAGGTGCGCTCAGCTTTATTATGAATATTTCTGGGGGGACCTGGAAGGAGCTTCCCTGAGCAATCAGAGGACTGTGAATACAGTGGTGCCCCGCATAGCGACGTTAATCTGTTCCGAATTAATTGTCGCTATGCAGAAACATCGCTAAATGGATCGAAAAAACCCATAGGAATGCATTAAACTTGGTTTAATGTGTTCCTGTGGGGCCCAAACTCACCGTTCAGTGAAGTTCCTCCATAGTGTCACCATTTTCGTGCCCTCGGTAAGCGAGGGCAGGGCGCGAAAACACTTGCAGCGGCCATTTGGGGCACCCGGCGGCAATTTTGGAACCGCTGATCAACTGCTTAAAAAAACATCGCAATGCAAAGATTGGTAAGCGAAACGCTTACCGATCATCGCAATGCAAGTTTTTGCCTATGTAAATATTGCAATGTGATTGCTTTTGCGATCGCAAAAGCAACATTGCTATGTGGATTCGTCGTTAAACGGTGCACTCGTTAAGCGAGGCACCACTGTACATTCAGACATCCGTCCCCTGAGCAACAAGCGCTGCATCTCAGCTGATCCTTCCACTCGAGATACACCACTGGGTTGTTTCTGACATGAATGATGAAGATGGGCATTTGGAAATAGCTGGTTCTCGTCTAAGTATTAATCAGCTTCTAACTGGCAAGGTACTGGTTGTGTCACTAGATTTGAACCTGATGTGCAATCAGGTGCATGTTTCTTAATGTGACAGGCAACATGTTGGTTAGTAGCAATTTGCTGTGGGGAGGAGGTACACAGAGTAAAATGTGCATCCATGAATTGCCAACAGGGATTCTCGCCATTGTCAGTAATATACAGCAAATGCCTGATGAGGTAGGGTCAACTGGTAGCCCATGGGCTAGCTTTGAACTGGCAAGACACAAAGTTTCATGAAGGGATGGCGAAAAATTAGCCACAGCTTCTAGGAATAGTACTGACCTAGAGAGAGAGTATATTATCCAGCAGACTTTCCCGATTCAGTGCTCTTCAGATGTGAGAGACTATGTCTCTCATCGTCTCCAACCAGCACACTATGTTGATTGGGGAAGCAGGGTGCTGCAGTCCAACATGACAGTTATAGAAAGTTGCTGTAAAGTTGCAAGATGCATAACAGAGAGGGCTGCAGATACTTTAATGCTGTGCCTTTCATCCGTGAAACACTTATTACCCTAAATAAATGCTACCAGCTTTATTACAGGTATTTTGAAAATAGCTCTGTTTTCACACTTGATTTCCAAAGGAGTTTGAGTGTTTACATTCTCCTTGTGGAAAATCAGCCATTGCGATTTGCAAGACATAAATAAGTCTCAGTGGTTGACCTGCAGATTGCTGATCTTTGGAAAAAGGCAGCAAAACGACATGTTGATAAGGAATGTGGTTGGAGAAGCTGTGATCTGCAAGCTAAGAACATGCAGATTTTGCAGTGTGTCAGAAATTAATTTAGAAGAAATTACCTTAGGAACTTGCACAAAATAACTTTGGCATCTTGAGTTGTTTTGGGAGCCACTTCTCTTCCTTGTATTCTTCACACAGTCCTGGGCAGACACCATAGCGTTGGTGTGAGAGAGATTGTAGGGGTCTTGAGTAGAGATGGGGATGAAGCACCAAAATGTCGCTTCGTCTTGGTTCGTGAGTCATCAAACTTGACAACTCACAAACCATGAATTGCCCCCCCCCGTGACCTGATGAACAACGAATCGATTAGTCATTTGTTGGTGGTTTGTTTTTGTTTTTGTTTTTTGCTTTTCCTCCTCTTGCTATGCCCTGATTGTGCAGCCACGGGTGCAGGATTGCTTTGATCCCTTTCCCCTTCCTCTTGCTAAACCTCGTGGGCGCTTTGATCCCTTTCCCCTTAATCTTGCTGAGCCCTGCAGGGCATAGCAAGAAGAGAGAAAGCAGGGATCAAAGTGATCCTACAGCGGCTGGGGTGTCCCTTTGATCCTTTCCCTCCTTTTCTTATGCCGTGTGGGCATAGGAAGAGGAGGAAAGGGAAAGAAACCAAACCAGCCCCAGGGGTGGGATTCTCTTCAGGCAGGCTTTAGCAAGCTGCCCGAAGGGAAAACCCCTCTCTGCTTATGCCCCCGAGGAACAGCTGATCCGCGGAGGCATAAGCAGATAAGGAATGAAGGGACGAATATAAAAGGGTTATATTTGTCGCTTCATATTCGTTTGGGTCTCTGGGCCTCAAGAATATGAAGCAGTGAATACCTGATGAATCAAGGATATTTAACAACTATCTGGATTTGTTTTTATATTTGTCCCCATGTCTAGTCTTGAGAGCTTAGATATTGTGCAAACTTATTATATTGGTTTTCTTAAGGTCTGATTCTGTGTAAGCTTATTTGGAAGAAAGCTACATTGAAGTATTCACGAAGGCTTTCATGGCCGGGATCTAATGGTTATTGTGGGTTTTTTGGGCTCTTTGGCCATGTTCTGAAGGTTGTTCTTCCTAACGTTTCGCCAGTCTCTGTGGCCGGCATCTTCAGAGGACAGGTGGAATGGATTATGATCATAAGTCGAGGCACCACTGTATGTGAAAACTCTGTCCTCCCATCTTCTGAGACGGATTGTGTTATGCATCAATATTGGATATACAGTATATGTCAATGCTAATAATTCAGCAAGAGTTAATTAAGTCATTGTTTTAATTGATGGAACAATATAAATACAAGTGGGAATAGTTTTAATAAATAGGTTTGTTGCTTTAAGTTTTTTTTACTGTTTTTAAATTGCCCTGAGCTTGGTCGATATGAAGTTGGATATTAGTTGTTTTAATGCAGTAGCTGAAATCCGGTACAGTAGTAAGTTGCAATTAGAGTAGGCCTATAGTTATGGCTTATTGTTGGATTTCTACCAATAAATACATTTATTGTACATTAATTCTCAGTGTATGAGCCTTTGATTAGTTGATCTTGTGGTTCTAGTAAAAGAAAAATATAGATCCAACAAGCTTGAATTTTGTTTGCTTTTGCCATATTTCACTGGGAAATGTTTTTTGGTTCATAGGAAGACAGGTTTTTCTCCATCAGCTGGTGTTTGATTGATTGACTTATTTATCTTTAGATTAGCTGAGATGTTGGGACTTGAACTTCAGGCTTTTTGCATGTAAGGCTTGAGCTGTGCCACATACACGCCCTTTTAAGAAGAAAATGGGAATTAAGCTTAGGAATTAGACATGGACACTTCATATTTGTATCTAGATATACAAAAAGGGACGTGGTGGCACTGTGGGCTAAACCACAGAAGCCTGTGCTGCAAGGTCAGAAGACCAAGCAGTCATAAGATCGAATCCATGCGACGGAGTGAGCGCCCGTCACTTGTCCCAGCTCCCGCC